CAATCATTGGAAGGATTTGATAAACCATTTCAGGTCTTAATTGATTGTTCATGCTTACGGTGGCTTTCAGACAGCATACATTAATTTTTCGTCTCCCCCCTCCTCTTTTCAGAACATAGATGGACTAGTCCTTCTAAATAAACTGCCAAATCGCTGCACGTGGCACTGACGTTTTTTATAAATACGCCGTTTAAAAATAAATAAGTTAATGCGAACCGACACTTCTTTCAAATGTTTCTTGCCGTTGGTTTTTTCACACCTGATGACGACCGTTTGTGTTATGGTCGAAACGTCGTGAGAATTTTTATTGTTTTATGTATTATTTTATTGTTTCCCTTCAACGTGACTTTACCGAAAGAGCTAAGAATATAACATGGTCTATAGTTGACTCGACCAGGAAGGAATCTCGATTTAAAGCTTTCGTGACTGCAAGGATTCATCTTCTTTGGTTCTTTCGGTAAAGTCACATAGAATGAGAATAAAATAATAAGATAAAACAATAAAATTATCATGACGTTTCGGCCACAACACAAGTGGCCTTCTTCAGGTGAAAGGAACAAACCTGTCGGGACGACAGGGCTAGAATGAACGCTGCTAAGATTCGCAGCGTCTTTTAAGCTGGTTGAGAGAAGTGAGGCACCTTGACAAAGGGGTTTACATATCAAACAGGAGAATTTAGCATTGAAACAGTTGAGGGATTAGCTTGTGACTGGTCACAGAAATAGCTATGTTAAAGTCAAAGCCTACACATCCACAGAGGCACCTCGTACATGGATGCCAAACGGGCTGCAACAACTCAACTATCATACAGTAAACCGATGTAAAAAAACACACCTAAGTCTAAATTACATCAATATAATAAATGTACTCAATATATTCTTCAATAAGCAGAGCTATTAACAGCAACTGGGTATACACTACACGGTTTACTGTATAATAGTTGAGTTGTTGCAGCCCCTTTGGCGTCCATTTACGAGGTGCCTCTGTGGATGTGTAGGCTTTGACTTTAACAAAGCTATTTCTGTGACCAGTCACAAGCTAATCCCTCAACTGTTTCAATGCTAAATTTTGCTATTTGATATGTAAACCCCTTTGTCAAGGTGCCTCACTTCTCTCAACCAGCTTAAGACGCTGCAAATCTTAGCAGCGTTCATTGTAGCTCTGTCGTCCCGACAGGTTTGTTCCTTTCACCTGAAGAAGGCCACTTGTATTGTGGCCGAAACGTCGTGAGAATTTTATTGTTTTATCTTATTATTTTATTCTCATTCTACGTGACTTTACCGAAAGAACCAAAGAAGAACAGGAAGGAATCGGCAACTTGCGGCTTTGGAGCCGCATGCAGCTCTTTCAGGACTGTTTTCGTGATGCAATGTATGTATTTCACATGCATTGCGGCTCTTGAAATATTGAGTTTTGTAACGAATTAAAAAAAAAACATGGCTCGTTATTGTTTTCCAACCCCTAGACGAAACCATGTTATATAGTGTACGTCAAAAATATGGATAAATAGTATTTAAAGTGTATTACATCTAACTAGATTCGACGCTTTCGTGACTTGCAGGAATTAATCTTTGGTTCTTTCGGTAAAGTCATGTAGAAAGAAAATAAATAGAATACGTTTCGATTGGAATACAAGCAACCATCATCAGGTACAAATTAATGATAAAACAAAACCCCACCTGGTTGATTACGTTCTTCCAAAGATTGCTAAATTTGAGAAAGAGACAAAACATAGACACGGAGACACACAGACACACAGAGGGAGACTCACACACAGACACACATAGGCACACAGAAAGATAACGTCTGTGTCGAGGCCTTAAATAGAGAGAGGGGTGTGACAGAGGGGGAGTTGTGTGGAATTCCTGCCCATAGGGGATGGACGAGCTGGACAGTGTTTGTATTACATTTCCCTATTTCAGTGGTGGGGGTTACTCGGAGGGGTAGTGGAGGAACCAATTGACGGAGTTAAGTACAGTATTGTACTTTGCAATGCACTTAATGATAGAGGTAGTGGAGAGGGGAGGGGTTATAGGGGTTGGTGTATGAATGGTGGGAGATGATGGGGACCAACGTACCGAACCGACCGACAGAAAACGATACACGGGACACATACAGCCAGTACTTTGAGTTTTTTGGTTTATCGAGTAAAATGCACACATTTAACATATAGTGAGGAAAAAAAGTATTTGATCCCCTGCTGATTTTGTACGTTTGCCCACTGACAAAGAAATGAGCAGTCTATAATTTTAATGGTAGGTTTATTTGAACAGTGAGAGACAGAATAACAACAAAAATCCAGAAAAACGCATGTCAAAAATGTTATAAATTGATTTGCATTTTAATGAGGGAAATAAGTATTTGACCCCCTATCAATCAGAAAGATGTCTGGCTCCCAGATGTCTTTTATACAGGTAACGAGCTGATATTAGGAGCACACTTAAAGGGAGTGCTCCTAATCTCAGCTTGTTACCTGTATAAAAGACACCTACCCACAGAAGCAATCAATCAGATTGCAAACTCTCCACCATGGCCAAGACCAAAGAGCTCTCCAAGGATGTCAGGGACAAGATTGTAGACCTACACAAGGCTGGAATGGGCTACAAGACCATTGCCAAGCAGCTTGGTGAGAAGGTGACAACAGTTGGTGCGATTATTCGCAAATGGAAGAAACACAAAAGAACTGTCAATCTCCCTCGGCCTGGGGCTCCATGCAAGATCTCACCTCGTGGAGTTGCAATGATCATGAGAACGGCGAGGAATCAGCCCAGAACTACACGGGAGGATCTTGTCAATGATCTCAAGGCAGCTGGGACCATAGTCACCAAGAAAACAATTGGTAACACACTACGCCGTGAAGGACTGAAATCCTGCAGCACCTGCAAGGTCCCCCTGCTCAAGAAAGCACATATACATGCCCGTCTGAAGTTTGCCAATGAACATCTGAATGATTCAGAGTACAACTGGGTGTAAGTGTTGTGGTCAGATGAGACCAAAATGGAGCTCTTTGGCATCAACTCAACTCGCCGTGTTTGGAGGAAGAATGCTGCCTATGACCCCAAGAACACCATCCCCACCGTTAAACATGGAGGCGGAAACATTATGCTTTGGGGGTGTATTTCTGCTAAGGGGACAGGACAACTTCACCGCATCAAAGGGACGATGGACGGGGCCATGTACCATCAAATCTTGGGTGAGAACTTCCTTCCCTCAGCCAGGGCATTGAAAATGGGTGGTGGATGGGTATTCCAGCATGACAATGACCCAAAACACACGACCAAGGCAACAAAGGAGTGGCTCAAGAAGTAGCATATTAAGGTCTTGGAGTGGCCTAGCCAATCTCCAGACCTTAATCCCATAGAAAATCTGTGGAGGGAGCTGAAGGTTCGAGTTGCCAAACGTCGGCCTCGAAACCTTAATGACTTGGAGATCTGCAAAGAGTGGGACAAAATCCCTCCTGAGATGTGTGCAAACCTGGTGGCCAACTACAAGAAACGTCTGACCTCTGTGATTGCCAACAAGGGTTTTGCCACCAAGTACTAATTCATGATTTGCAGAGGGGTCAAATACTTATTTCCCTCATTAAAATGCAAATCAATTTATAACATTTTTGACATGCGTTTTTCTGGATTTTGTTGTTATTCTGTCTCTCACTGTTCAAATAAACCTACCGTTAAAATTATAGACTGATCATTTCTTTGTCAGTGGGCAAACGTACAAAATCAGCAGGGGATCAAATGCTTTTTTCCCTCACTGTATGTACACAATATTTTATTTTTGTTACGTACGGCAGTGATATGGACGATCAATAGCGTGTTCTGTTTCAGAACACGCTATTGTGTGCGGGCGTCATGATCCAAGTTTGAAAAATAATCTGCAAGTTACTCAATTGGAATATACATAGCAATCATCACTCCCTCCTACAAGCATTTGGTAGATCCTTCTGAAAAAGTCAAGATTCAGCAAGGCTTTCCTGTGTAAACAAGCCTGATCACAATAAATAAAACCAGAGGTTTTCATTAAATTACGTGGCAAGCCGGACGTTTCAGCTAACCGAACCAGGGCCCCCCGTATTAGTCCAGCTAGTCGGAGTGTTTTTGTACCTCAGTCCCCAGCGGATCAGATACGAGATATTGTTTCATATAACATTTTGCAGGGTGCATGTGTACAGGTGTTGTGGTATAATCACGATGTCAGTTTCTCATAAATTGTGTTTAATTGTATTTTACACGTATATCTTTTGTTGTGTTTTGCAATACTTCCGGTATTAAAGATGACTTATTTGCTTAATTGCAGTTCACTCAACATAAAAAGGGCAATTAATCTTGCATCCCAAAAAAGGGTGATACGTATTTTATATATCATGTAAGACTGGAAATTCCATTGTTTCTGCCATCATATTAAACAATATTCTTATCCATAGTAAAACTATTAATCTACTTGCAACAACCCAACATGATGTCATGGAATTGCTATATTACAAATCTGGCTAAGGAGGTATCATAGCTAGTTTTATTTTATAACAAAGCCTTTTTCTTTACTCTGAACTGTTTGAATCACAAATTTGAATGGGAAAAATTGTCATATATGGAGTAAAGCATCCAGATCCTACTTCACTATACTTGATAGATGTTATACAGCAGGTTGATTTAATGATCCAGTCACTCGCTCACCGGCGGTCAGTCACCATAGTATCACTCTTGCTACGACCGTTACTGTTTTGTGGATTTCACTCAGGGATTCCTATACCCATCTTGAGGATTAAACCTACTTGCCTGTTCAACCACCATACATCCAGACTGTGTTCGACTTCCATACTATGGCTCAAACCACTTCTCTTTCTGCTTCTTCCAGTGCACTGGTCAACTTCGGAAATCCCACTCGTCCTTATAACCTTGCTAAATTCACTTCTAAAGTTAACTGTTATCTCGTATAACTTTGACAGTGCTGTCTGTTGAAGACTGCTTGACATTTTGGGTCTTTGCGCCTGTGCCAGCAACTGTTGTTTAACAACAAAAAAACCTGCGTTAAGTCTTAGAATCATTAAAACTTTACAATCCAAAATGCTTTGTTTAGACATGCTGTCAGTTACACAAAATGAAAACTACCATATTCCCTATCATTTTCTCCTCCTTATTTTAAAGCAAAAGTTGGGCATTGCATCTTATAATTCGGTAGATGTTACCAGATGTATAACTTTATTGACACCGGGTGCAAGTTTGGGGTGCGAGTTTATGGTATCAGTGAACGCTGTGTGCTAACCACCACTCCCACGTGTTCGCTCCTATATAAGTATGTGGTGCATCTATTTTCCAGAGTACTTTATCCAGAACATGCGTTACTACAATAGTCAAGGCTTACTTTAAGTTGTGATGCAAGAAAAGAAGCATGTTTAAGTGTTCATGAGACAGCTGCGATTTAAACGGTGTGACAATTTGTCCCGGTGTGCTGAATGCTTGCTCAGATGGTACGCTGGTGGCAGGGATGCACAGATACTTCTCAGCTGCCTTTGACAGCAAGGGAAAGTCAATACAACGAACGGACCACCAACGCAGAGGGTCACTTTCAGCATTATATAGAGGCTCAGAAATGTAGTGGTGGATCTCTTTCCTCACTCTGCTTGCTAATGAAGCACCGTCATCAGCGTCAGTGCCTTCTTTATGAAGTTGGTTGGCGGCCGTAATCTTTTTCAGTATTGCCCCAAGTTTGTTAGTTTTGGCTCCGGTTGCGCCAGGCACTTCTTCTTTCACAGTAGAGGTAGTCACATTAGCAGAAGCTCCTGCTGAGCTGGCACCGGATTCTAGTTTTGTAGACGTGGCAGCACTTTGTGTTGTGAAAATGTTTTCTTCCACTGCGCTGATGCATTCCATCAAATCCACGGTGACAGATGGTAAATCTGTTACAAAGTCACTCTTGAATCGAGGATCTAGAAATGAGCACACATCGAGAATCTTAACAACGTTGTCACTGGCATAGCAAGACTTGAGTTCACCAGCGATGCACGTCTTTAAGTCTCTCGCCAAGCTGGTGTCACCGTACTTTTCCCCCAATATGTCATTCAGGATGTGGTGTAATACTGGTCGCAAGGCAGAAACAGTGACATATTTTTCAGAGGCCAATGAGTCTGTGAACTCGTGCAGTGGGCCGAGCACCGCTGCCAGGTCTTCAAGTATTGCAATGTCAGTATCCATTGGATTAAGATGCAAGTTTCCTTGGTCTGCTGACAACACAGCGCGCACAGGTTGCCGCTGTTCCAGAAGTCGGGCCACCATTTCGTATATGCCCCCCCACCTGGTTGTTGTGTCTTGAATAAGGGTTTGCTGCTCCATTCCCAGCTCAGCTTGTTTCGTCGTCAATTCCCTCTTCTTCTTCCAGCTCCTATTGAAGGCACTTACCACGTTACGACATAAGTTCACTGCCGACTCCACAATCTCGATCTTCAGAGACTTGTGAACGGCCAAGTTTAGGTTTTGGCCAAAGCAGCCCAACCACTGCAATTTCATCCGCTCACTGAATGCCTTTTTCATGCTGGTAGCACTTTCTGTGATGACGCTGCTCAGTTTGAGGACATTTAGCCTCCACTCTTGCAGCATTTCTTGGAAAGCTTCTGCAATTTGCATGCCGCTGTAATCCTCGGGTATGTAGCATGTATCCAAGCAGTGTGACTCGAGCTTCCATTCACCGTCTGCTGTTACCCTGATGTAGTGCACTGTCAGACTCATGTAGGGCTCCCCTTTCCCAGTGCAGCCCACCCAGGTGTCAGTTGTGACAGAGAACCAGCAGGCAGAATCCAATGACTGCTGGACCTTGGCCTTTGTTTCATTGTAAAGTTCTGGTACTGCCTTTGTCGTGAAAAAGGTTCTGCCAGGCATGTCATACTTAGGATTCAGCTTGGAGACAAGCTGCTTAAAACCAGGCATTTCAACTGTGCAAAAAGGTTGCATGTCTTTAGCAAGGAAGTAGGACACAGCCTTATCCAAAGCTTTGGCCTCTTTTGATTCACGATTCAACTTCTTAGACCTTGTCCCTTCAATAGTCTCAGCAAATGACAGTGGAATGGATCTAGGAGTAGCAGGGGTGGAGCTTGGTGAAACAAAGGAAACACCAGCAGATGATGATGCTTCTGTATGCAGTGCTGGGTGATATTCACGCAAATGAGTCATCATGTTTGATGTGTTACCAGCCTTGTTGGATACTGCAACCAAACACGTTCGGCAAATTGGCCATCCAGTATTAATAAGGCAGCCCTTGTCATCTTTCTGGTAGCCAAAATATTCCCAGACAGCTGATTTTATTCGTTTCTCTGGCGGAAAGAGCAAAATGTCAACATCTGCTGTTGATGCCGACTCCATTTTGTGTATTGTTACTGGTGACGAAAACGATGACGGGTCACGTAAACGTTGGGCTGTCAATCACTCGATGTTAGGGTAGAAGGGGGGGGTGGGGATTTTTTGGCTTAGCGGCAGGGAAACACGGAAGCTAGAAGAGAGGGGGGCAGTAGTCCAACACAGCCCGGGATGAAGCAACCAGGGTGCAGCACCAGCCAGTGAAAGCACCAGTGAATCCCAGGGCAACCACGTGGGTCCAACGACCTGCGTCAGTGACAACAAAAAAACAACAATCAATGGGTATAAGACTGATATTGTTTTAGAACTACAGATATCTGGCTCGTTAACATTTATTTCGATGTAAATATTTGGTTTAAAAAAAAAGACAATGACGATATATCACAATACGCTTTGTTGTTGTTGTGACGTTCCGAGTTGACGGTGCGCTGCGTTTTCCCAGTGTTGACTTAACAATCGCCATTCGCCACTTAGTGGCGGTGCCAGGCTAGGTACACTGAGGCCACGTGAAATGTGGAAGGCTCGCTTGCTGGCACGTCGACTCGTTGCCATACATTTAAGCGCCGTTAAAAGTCGACAACACCTCCCCACTACTTTTATGACCAACGATTACCGCGATATAATTTACCACAAGATACAACAATATAAATGACCACGATAAGACAATTGTCGGGATGTTTACCCCATAACTTTGCATCTCACAGATTGTAAAAAATATATATATTTTTTATCGTTTTCCTGCTTCTTGCATGCGTTGCCAGTACAGATGATTCAAACGTTCAATCGCTATTATTTGATCACGATCCTGCCATAATACGTGTAATCGTTACCTGTACAATATATTAACGCACACGTACACGAGAAATACTAAAAAAATATTTACAGAAAATCCCGACAATGGTGTCACAACCGGCCATGCCTCTATTACTCCGGCAAAGAAAAAAAAATTACCTCCCAACGCGGCATTTAAGAATTGCTTCCGCAAAATAGCGGCATCCTCTGGCTCAGCGAGATACGGCGATTTAAAAAATAAAAATCTTAAATCAGCCGCGATAATCGCGATATTACGATAATTTTAAGGAGGGAGGGGGGGAAAACACTGGGCGATACGATTATCGTCGCATCGTATCGCCATATTGCCCAAACCCTCCAACAACACTGCCGCGTCCGCCTCTGTGTCTCGCCGCTCGTGTGGTGGACTGGATGTCAACACACGCTTGTCGCGGCGTTTGCGATGTTACTTATTGTCCCGCGTGGTTGCTTGCTCGCTCGCTCGTCCGCGGCGAATTCGCGACCGCCTCCGCTGCCGCCGCCTCGATGGAGTTCAAAAACACGCGGCCACCCCCCAAGGGCCCGCCGGGTTCCCGCGATTTCGCGTCGATTCAACTCGACCCGCGATTCTCGGCTGGTTAGAACCGATGTTTGTAAACTCGACACAGTTGACGCGTTTTTTAAATTTTTTGAACGTTGAGCTTGCTCCTTCGCGTCACGTGTCTCTGGCATGTCTGCGAGCTCACGATGGTTGCCGATCGACCGAGTTAACTTCGATGGCAAAACATTCAGTAGGATGCGAGAATCGCGATATGTAATTTTATTGGAATCGAGGGAATCGAATCGTTAGAGGTGGATGGAAGGGTGGGGCAAAGGACGAGGGGTGGGGGCCGGAAATTAATCTAGGGGGGAGTGGCAGGTCAATGGAAAGTATTTTGATAAGTTATACCAGTTATGATTTACGTGCTATTGGAGAAGGTTCATTTCCCGAAACATCGCCAATTTTTGGTGATCTTTAAGGCTGTTGACGAATCTGTTGATTTTTTTTGTAACAGTGAAGAGATTGAAGTGAAGAGGGAGCTTGAGGGGGAATGGGGGTGGGAATCAAGGTTAACGTTTATTTTTAGAATCAGAGTTTTTATTTATCTTGGAGAAATCTGATAAGCCGTGAAGCTCCTTTTCACACATGTCCAGTAAGGGCGGGTCAGAAAGTTACAACAGCATAGGTGAGAACAACTGAATAAACCAGGATAGTCTTAATTGCAAAATTGACCTGGGTACCGACTGACAATCTCAAAACAAAGAAAGTATAGCAATTAAGCAAATATAAATCAGCACTAAAACAGTATCACATGAGAACTATAAATGATTGCACAAATATAAAAAAATTGTTTAATGCATAATAGAATCCCTCTAATGTAAGTCAGCTTGGGAATATTATTTTAGACTGATCAAAATACATTTGCCAATAAAATTACAGAAACATTCAACAAATATAAGGTGGGTCTTTATACCAATATATGTCAGAGAAGGATGTATGCCAAAATCAATTGCGGGGTTAAGTTTTCATAAAGAATCAACAGCTTAGCATTACATTGTGACTTAGGTGGAAGAGTGAGCATGGACATGTTTGAATCTAGAATTCCAGATGTTGGGGACATTTACAGAGAATGAGTGAGAACCAGTTGAGTTTTTCCCTTGGTACAATGCACTTCAGTGCTGTGGTTCGTCTAAGATTTTGAGGATTTTGGTCATGCATAAACACTTTGGATAGGTAAGGGACTGAGTTATGTGTGTATGCATTAAATATGAACTTGTCCAATGAATTTCTTCTCGAGTTCAAAGTGGGTGATAACTGGTCTTGGGGTATAGATCACAGTGATAGTAGTTTGTAAGATAAAACATAAGGAAGTATAAGATATAGCACAGTGTTTAACTCATCCAGAGTGGTTTTAGAGGCTTATTCGTATACGATGTAGGCATAGTCTAGGATAGGCATAACGGAAGTAGCTATACAATGTTTCTGTGAAGAACATGAAAAGCAGGATCTTAAGTTTTTAATTCAAATGTTATATATGTTTGAAGTCGAGATGACAATTGAGCCAGATGTTAAGATTCGTGTTTGAGGAAACATTTTCAATTCTACAGCAGAGAGTGGTTATGGGAAAATTGCAAATTGTTCCGAGATGTAGTAGATATTCCTAAAAGTAACATATCTAGTTGTGTTTGCATTCAGGTGTGGTTTCAAGGCGATTATGTAAAAAAATGGAAAGTCTCCTTGTAACTTTTTGTCATACATTTATAATGAAGATCCTGGGGTATAAATAAGTATCACGAGTAAAAAGTCAAATTTTACAATGAGATAGATTTGACTATATTTTATTTATATGGATCGAGAATAGAATAGGAATGAGCACTGAACCCTATGATTTCACCTTTCTTTAGTAGAGTAAAGTCAAAGGAAAGAATTACCAATTTGACACATTGTTTTCTACCTTATAAATAATTTATAAACAAGTCTGTTACTTTTTTACATTGGACAGAATCGAGTAACCTGACTTGTAAGATGTGATGATCAAAGGTACAATAATACTAATGCATTTAAAGCTTTCGTGACTGCAAAGATTAATCTTCTTTGGTTCTTTCGGTAAAGTCATGTAGAATGAGAATAAAATAATAAATTGATAAAATAAAATAACACAATAATATTCGCCTTCATCAAGGCCGCTTGTGTTGTGGCCGAAACGTCGTGAGAATATTATCGTGTTATTTTATTTTATCAATGTATTATTTTATTCTCATTCTACGCGACTTTACCGAAAGAACCAAAGAAGATGAATACTAATGCAATTTATCATGCGCACAAAATTACAGACATATAAACATGACTGAGGTGCAGCGACAAGCTCAGTGTCGCTCGAACGCCAGGCTAAAGAAGTGGGTCTTTAAGTGTATCTTAAAAGTAGATGTAGATTTTCAGTGGGATGGTGTTCCAGATGGCAGAGGCTGCCACAGATAAATTATGCCTAGCAATGCTAGTCATGTGTGAGCTGTGTTGAAGATGGTTCTACCATGAGCTGTATTGCAGAGTGACAAGTGAAGAGCGATAAGGTGGACTGAAAAAAGAGGCACAATGTTACAGACGGGTGATCATTTGGCTGACCCTGGTGGTGATGGGAAACTAGTGAACAGAGCGGAGGGAGGCGAGGGAATCTAACTGAGGATGACAGGCGCCAGGGACTATGCAGGCAAGATTTTTTGCAACCATTGGAGTTTCTTGAAATTGCTTGATGAGAATCAAACAAGTACAGTGTTACAATCGTCGACACAGGACTGGACGATGCTGCAGGCAAGGGTATTGGCGATATCAGTGGTGATGAGTGGACATACATGACAGAAGGCCCTGAGGTGGTAGTTGCAAGATCTGATTGTGTGGTTGGAGTAGCTGTCAAAGGAAAATTTGAAGTCAAATGACGCCAAGGATTTTTGTGGTTAGAGAATTTGATCGTGGAGCCAGTGATTATTATGCTTGAACGAAACGTGGAAGTTGTGAGACGTTGTCTAAAACTGTTTGTGAAGTAGTGATGGTGATCAGCTTAGGTATAAAGCCAGATTGATGTTCAGTTGATTTTCCATAAGACTAGATAGTTGACCAGCTGTTTCTGAACCGTATTTTTATGTTTTATAAAAGACCAACAGATAGGCTGGTAAATTTGGCTGGTTATTTAAATTCCCCCCCCCCCTTCCTCCCCTTTGTGCAAAGGATGGACATATGACAATTTACAATAAATGGTTATTGAGTTGGAATGTACTGACATATTAAGCAAATAGCATATCAGGTATGCAAGAGCATTGTCTCCTAATTTTTGAAATATTGGAACAATGCTGTCTAGTTCAGCAGCATTGTAGGGATAAAAAAAGATGTAAAGAATTGTTTTTAATTTTAAGTCTGAATGTCCTGAGAAAATTTGGGGGCAAAGTAATTAGGGTTGGGTGTCGGGGAATGAGTGGCATGCATTGATGAAAGATTACTAGTTTAAAAGGTACTCTCTGCTTGTAGAAAACGATTGTTGAAAGCGTCAAGAATATTTTCACCAGAAATTTCACTGCCAATTATTAAGAGTATGAACAGGGTTAGTGTTGAGTCCTGGAGATTGGAAGAATTTTATGGCAGACCAAAATCTTTTCGGATTGTCTTGGGAGATATCTATAATTTTAAGTGTTTAGGTGTCGCTTTTTAATTTGAGCAGTACACTTATTACGGAGTATTCTGAAATTTATGGTAGATTTAGGACTTATTGATTTCCTTGCTATGGCCCATGCTCGTTATTTTCGGAGGTCACTTAGTTCAGAAATGAACCAGGAGTTATTCTTATTTTTCCTCATTTCTTAGAGGGGAAATACATATTGAAAGTGGGCCAGTTGAAGTAAGGACTGAAGACAAATCAAGTTTTGGATGTAATCAATACATTTTAGGCTCATTTTATAAATATAGTATTTGGAGTGTGATTTGTGGGGTTAATGCGAGGCTGAAAATGGAAGGTCACTGATCTTGGATGGCTGCAACAAGAGCCCTCGCAGGACGGTAGTATACTGTGAGAAGAAAATAATAATTTTACAAAAGCTCAACCTTATTATTTCTAATTCATTTGGCCTTGATACATATTTTGCCAGTGAGCAGTTGTAATGCGATTCAGTGTATATTAGAACACCTTCTGACGGAGTCTATCAGTAGTTATGAGGAGTGGGGGGGGATATACAATGAAGAGGGTAGAGGATTAATTAGGGGGAGATGGGGACTGAGCTGAGGGGAGGGGGGAAGAGAAATAAGGGAGAGGGGAGAGGAAATTTTATTTGATGGTGGAGTGAGGGAGATTGAGGGGAGGAGGAAGAGAGAGGTTGAGTGGAGGGAGGAGGAGGAGGGGGGAAGCGATTTCGGAGCAGGACAAACAGGGGTCAGGAGTGAACCGGAAGCTCTCTCGATGGTGGGAAGCGGAAAGGACTGAGGGCGGTGGTTGCGAGGTGGGGACCGAAAGGGGGGGAGGGAGGGGGCAGGGGTTATGGGTCAACCGGAAGTGGCCGCTCGTCCCACTTTTCGCGGAGGCGAGGCGAGAGGAGGCTTCTCCGCGGGAGCAGGCCGCGCCTTTTAAACCCTTTTGTTTGGTCGCGTCGCGGCGGCTTCCAACGCGATCTTATCACATTATTACTCCCTCCGCCGCGCCGCCACCACCAGGACCGCCACCCCCAGCCTCCCAGGGGGCGCGCCGTTAATTTTTTTTTAAATAAAAAATAATTAAAAATAAACTTCCCATCCTTTAACTTTGAGACCCACTTTCCCGCTCTCTTCATGGACGCCAACTGGATAAGCTACTTGTACCAGGTGAGTGCCGCGTTGGCTTTGCGAGAATAGCCGCCTTGCCTCTTTTGACGCGTTTTAAATGCGATGATGATTCATGATTAACAGTGGCGGCGGTGGTTGGTGTTGGTGGTGGTGGTGAGAGGAAAAAAAATCGAGAATCGCGCGATGTGAATCCCTTCCCCCTCCCCACCCCTCACCGCCGCTCCGGGCCCGCGTCAGGGGGTGAGGCCCAGTCCCAATTCCAGGCGGGATTTTTTTTTGTCATTTTTCGCGTGGTTTTTAAGTTTTTTTTTCTTTTTTCCGAACTGCAGCTTTAGTTGAATTCTTCCGTCGTCGTTGTCTAGGTGAGT